CCCCCCCCCCCCCGCCCCCCCCCCGGTCCTCCTCCTCCCAACACTTAGCTGTGTACTTGCTTAAGTAACTCCATGTGTTCACGTGAAACCGCACACCATACCACACCACACCACACGCACAAACAAACGAACGAGCGGACGTACCATCACCCTACTAAACCCCAAAATCAAACGCACAAACAAGCAAAACACGCTTGCTTTCGACCACGCTTCGTCCGCAACCCGACTACAACAGGGCTTGACTCTGACTCTAAGAGATACGACTGAGTGAGTGAGTGAAAAAGTCTCAGCAAGCACAGCAGCAAAGAAAGCAAGCACACCGAACGAGAAAAAAAAACAACACAACAACGAATCGTTCGTCCGTGCACGCAGGTGCGTCAAGACTCAAACGACACTGACATGTGGTACAGGCCAAGGTGTCAGCCAGGCCCATCTAGTGCCCGATATCGGGCAGATCTAAGTGACGTGTACTACCTATCACGGCCTGTCTCTGCCGGCACCAGCTACCCTCCGCAGCTCCTCGAGCCTAGATGGGTGTTCGACATAGTACGGCGCTTCCTCCACCAACGAACAAACTAGGCTAGGCTCCACACGCACTTACGCACGTGGGGGCCGAATGCAAAACAAAACAATAATAAAATAAATAGTTAGAGCTGATACTTTTAAACTCCAGAAAAAAACAACTAAAAAAGAGTGTCGGCCAAAAAAGAAAACGCAACAAAATTCGGCAAAATCAACACTGACGGCTGGGTTTTAACAACACGATCGAAAATAAACTTTGGCCATCGACACGGTACATGTGGTGTGTGTGAGTCAGTTCTGAATGAACGAAACCAAGGAATAAAGGACTTGCCGCAGTCCGCGGTAGTTGTAGTGAAATAGACCACCTCTATGGAACCGCTGTATGAGTGTTTCCCCCTCTTCTATACTACAACCCTCAGTGGGGGGTTGCTGGAATAAATACTCTTGTCCTCTTTCTTTGCGGCGACGCAGTCCCCCTACTACGCACTTCACACAAGTAAAGAAATAACAACACTGACGACTCTTCTCCCATCCATCACCCATATCCCCGCTCTT